ATCGATAGCTTATGGAGTTCCCTAGAAATATTGTCTTGGGAGTTTTTGAATCTCATGCTTTCTTTATTTTCTGCAAACTTTCTACGAATGGGCCAAAAATGACCCAAGGGGGTGTAAAGGGTTAAGAAATATTCATTTCATATTTCTCGATCAACTATGCATGTGGTCGTTCATATGTTGAACTTAATTTCATTTACTCTTCCTTCTTTTATTTTAACCAAAACCTATTTGACGTTTCGACAATGAGGTTGTCTTCGTCAAACTGATGTACAGTATGAGAGCACTAAATATATATAAGTAGAATTTTAGTGAACTGTTTATCTTTTTAATTGACAGTGGATCGAACTAGAGTCCTGCAGGTTACGACTTTTTGGCAACCTATAACCTAACCTATAGAGGTTTCTACAACCTAAACCTAACCTAACCTATAAATTTTTTTTATAACCTAACCTAGGTTAATCTAATTTAATCTGTGGAGTTTTTTCTCTGACAACCAACCAAAAAATCACATTTTATTAACGATATTTTAAACGACGGAAAAATGGGACAGAGAAAAGAATAAGCACATAAACACGTCATTGTGGATGGTCAGTTATTTGAACCAATAACATCACACTCTATCGGCCACTTGAGTATTCCAGTCTGTCGCTCAAAATCGTTTTTCGTTTAGGTTAAAAATAGGTTACCAAAACCATAACCCCTAACCTAACCTATAAACAATTTTGTAACCTTGTTGGTAGAGCATTCATAGCAGTTCTATATTCGATTTACAAATAATTTTGTAACCTTAACCTAACCTAACCTATACAAATCGTAACCTAAACCTAGTTAGATTAGGTTAGGTTAGGCTTACCTAAATAAATAATTTCCATCTGGAATAATGTTTCTGATAGCCCACAAAATGATATATAGGATATTCAAAACAAATTCAACAATTCAGAAAAAACAAAATTCAACAAATTCAGAACAAACAAAGCCGCATTTATTCTGAATATCCTATATATCATTTTGTGGGCTATCAGAAACATTATTCTAGATGGAAATTATTTATTTAGGTAAGCCTTAATTTTATGCTACTTTCTCTGGGCAAATCGTCAAGACACCAGTTCTAGCTTCCATTAAACAGCTGATCAGCGCAATCGAAAACAACAGTTCTATTAGTTACAGTTAATGGATAAGAGTACAATGTTTTTAGCGTTTTTCCAGCTAACGAGAGGATAAATTTCATCTCTAAAATACAAAACATTCACATTTCCTGCAAAAAACGTTCCACATTATATCAACCAATCAAATATTCTTCAACCTGGCACTTTTTCGGGTTGAAAGAAGAAGACTTATAAATCGCTCGTCCAGTATTACCGTCTTGTTCGATCCACTATCAATTAAAAAGATAAATAGTTCACGGTTAGAACCAGGAGCAAAAATGCATCCTTGAATTAATCTTACATCAAAAGTGAACAAAACTAAAATGTGAATGGGGCTAGAACACTCAACCTTCGATTTCATGCCAGAAGTCTCCATGGACTATGTTGAACCTCCTCCATAAACTCCTTGGGGAGTCGAGAAATGAGTACCCTGCGCAGTTTTAGTGGAAGGAGGCTGTCGTCTAAGAACCGATAAAGTGACACGTTTCCGATCTTGTTTGCTTGTTGTTCATACTTGCTACACTTTGATCGACTTGTTCTCTACGCCTTCAGCATCGCGTCCCTTACGGAGATCTCCTTTTAGGTAAATTATTCGTGCGTATACTTTCACGAAAATTATTAATATCTTTTGCACCACCAACAGCAAAGCCACTTTTCAGCACCAACACTTTTATTCGTTTTTAAACTTGAATATAAATACCAATGAATTTCTTTGACCCAATACATTTCCTTTTCATGACTCCTTTTCGTTTTTTAATTCATTTGTTAGCACGAAATATTAATAAACTTACATGCATTAACTAATTTGAAAGAATTTCTAATGCGTTTACGTGCGTTAAATTCAGCACACCAATAGTAAATAAATTAAAATAAATTGTTTAGTGCATTATGTTAGCAAAAACACGTATTTTAGCCTCATATTGGATTATTTTAACGAATTAAGTTGAATTAAAACTAAATTGATTACAAACGTTTTTCGGACATTTAGAAAATTTTGGTGTTTAAAATTCGGTACGTTTCAATACGTTAAAAACTTTCAATACATTCAAATTCAAACACATTATAATTGTTTAAATCTTGAAAAAGTATATTAAATTTCAACGCATATGAATGCATTCATATGTGACGATAACAAGAGAAGGCCCAATTATTGGAGAAGTTCCTAAGTCCTCTAAAGCAATGGCCCGATACGAAACCTTTTCAGTGGAATCCAATGGCATTATCGGAAAAAAGTAAAAATTCTTCCTGATAGAATGCTGATATCATACTTGTTTTTGTAAAGCATTAATGCGTTCACATGCATTAATTTTTAACTCGTGTGAACTCATCACACTTAGGCATGCAACAGTTTTCAGTTTTTTTTCTTGCTTTTCAAAAAATGGTTTTTATTTTCGCAACAACGAACTGTGAAATTTTCTCAAACCAGCAGTTTTAACAAACGATAGAATGATACAGCAGTAACTGCTGATAACAGTAAAACGTAAATTCTATAACTTTGCAAAGAAAGGTCGTGTAGAGCAGGAAGATGTCTCATTTTAAGCAGAAATTTGCATGCCACAGTCAGTCCTCGGTAAGAAAGGTTTTGGTTATTTTTTAGAACTTCTGAAAAAATAGTTTTCCAGAAAAACGGATCATCGAATGGCTATGGGGAACCGAACCCCCATGGCTGTATTTGGAGTCAGCATGGTCAATAACCTATAACCCACTAGATTCCGATCAAAAAGCGATACCACCTCGGGTGGTTTCGTCGTAAGTACTTTTCAAGAAACTATTCATAGACTCTATGATTCTAAGAGGAGTAAACTCCTGCTGAAATTTCAGCGAATACTGGTATAATAGCGATACATTTTAGCGGCAGGACCAAGGGGGGAACAGCAGACTCCGCACTCCACCGAGTCAACTGACTCCGCTTGACTCCACTTGACTCCACTTGACTCCGAGAGACCCCACGGGACTAAAAGGTATGGAGTCACATGAAGTCATATATAATTTTTCTGCCAGTGAAACGCCGGTCAGGAAGAAAAAAGAGTATGTTTTTTCTACTGGAGCATACAAACAATCAATGCTCTAATTTTTTGGCTGTGTGTATGTACAAATATATTGTTGTGTGGATCTTCCTTCTTTTATATATTCATATCAAAATGTAAAAATATATACAATAAAAACAATGACAATAGTAGTAGCGAACAATAAAAACGGTATCATTATACTAGATTATCACAGTGGAGAAGAAAGAAATCACATTGGATAAAAAAAGACTGGCAATCATATAAAAAGTCTTGATGTGTTCGACGTTTTTTTGTTAATGAAGAAGCTGAACCTGATTCAGTTGAATTGATACGTCTTTTTGCTCTAGCACTTCCTGAATATGTAATCGATGAGGTACTAACATTGTGTTGACTATTTGTGTGATCAACTGATGATGATGTCAAAAGTGATGATATGGATGCGGAGAGTATTGGTGGCGTTGGCGATAAATCAATGGATGGTGATTGGGTATTTATTGATAATGTCAATGATTTGTCATTATTTTTTATTTCCTTCATTACTTTATATGATTTAACAGCTTTCAAATGTCTATAATAATTTGAAAGTTGAAATTTTCCACGACTTTTCGTCAATATGAATAAGTTACCACAATCACAATTGATATCGGCAGTCAACGTACCATTCAAATAATTCTTAACTGCTAAACGATATTGTTGACCGTCTATCAATGTAAAGTCGTTTAAATTCAAATTTTCTTTATTATCATTACACCAACGTTGTATTGAATCAACTATATATCTTTCATGATGAGCAAGTGTCCATTGAGCTACTGATGCTGTTACATTTTTTGGTGTGGTATTGGAGCAAAAGGTAATGGATGACTGACTGACATTCGATGTAGTTGTCGGTGGTAATGATGGACTTTTTTTGAATTTTTTTCTTCTATCAGCATTATTTCTTGTTCTCAATAGTTCAACTAAATAATCAATATTACCTTTAACACCGGCTTTAAAAATAAAGGATCCATCTTCTTACTTGAATCCAGCCTTGTTTTTAATATCATCTAAGTCTTTGCCTGGTATATGCATAATTTAAAATACATTGTTGATTTGCTGAACTTGTAACAGTTCTGCTTCTGTTGATCCAACCATCTGTTTAACAAAATCATTAAATTCACCATCTTGAAGTATCATAAGATCCGCTGGTAACAAAGATGTATGGAGGAAAACTTTTGAGCTAGCCATGTCTTTCATAAACAAGAATCAGATTCGAATAGTACAGCTTCTTCAGTTAAAAAATACTGGTATGATGGATAATAATAATACAGACTTATCATTCTGCATCACAAGAATGTGATGCAGAATGATAATTGTTAGTTAAGAAATAATTTAAAACATCATTATTAGTAAATTCTTTCGAAAAGTTATGATCAAACTACTGTCATGTATAGATAATGAAAATTACTTAGTTGTATTTACTTGCTATAGTTTCATCCATAAAATTCAAATCTATTCTTCATGCAAATATTGACTTATAATTTCTTTTTCTATGCTCTTTTTCTCCTACTTGAAAATTAAGAGGTTTCAGCAGCGAGAGAACAATATAATTATTATTAAAAACACTTGAATAATTTGATGTATTTTTGTTTTAAGTTAAAACAAACATTGGACGTATCATACATCTCTTCACTTTTGAAATTGAATTTAAAGAGTGTTCAACTTTGAAAAGAAAACATGTCCGATAGAACAAGTATGTTAATCGAACGCTATCAAGCACCACAGAAATTAAGCTTAGTATCAGATGGTTATCGAAAATTCGATCGATCAAGTGTATGGTCATCAGGGCCAATTCGAAATTCTTCAATTCATCCATAATTCGGGGGATTTCCTAGGGGTCTCCAGAAACCCATTTTTTAATTTCACTTCAATTTCACTATTTTTCAAACTTACATTGTATTATTGAACTGTTTAGGACTGATATCATTTAAAATCAATTGAAATAAAAGTATTCAATACTAAGGATACTGCTTGTCGCTACATATGCCACATGTACTTTCATGTACGCGTCTGCTATAAGGTCATGATGATCTATTTTTTGGTTTCACTCAGACAGACGATGTCTATTATAGCGCACAGATACACGTGTATGAACGAAGCAGAAAAGAGAAAAAAATGCTCATCTGGTATCTGTTTATCTCTGTCTTGCTCTCTCTCTCAATTCGCACAACATGCTCCTTTTCTGGGTGCAGAGTGTAAGATTTCTCATGCACCATTGAATTCTTCATGTGTATGTCAGCAGCACCACCACAGATTGCATCAAGTTTAGTTTTTATACCTTTTTCAGTATCTCCAAAGTTAATTTTGTGTAAACGTAGATCAGTCATTTTTTATGTTTTAATACAAGTAAGAAATGAGTGTGTAGATGAAAGTTATAGACAGAGTGAAGAACTATTGTGAAGAATGAACGTCTGCACCTGTGTAGAGAGAGTGAGAGCGAGACAGACAAACGCCAGATGAGCATTTTTATCTCGTTTCTCTCTCGTTCATGCACCTATGTCTGTGGTCTTACAGCACCGACCTTATAGCAGACGAGTACATAGAAGTGCACATCGCTTCTGTAACCACAAAAAGCATCCCCAGTGTAAAAATTTTATTTCAATTGACTTTAGCCGTTGGTCGCAAAGATTCTTTTTTGGTCAAATTCTTTTTTTGTTTAAAAGAGGAAATAAAACTACATGCACTGACCGGCACCGATTTTTGAATTAGGTCTTAGTTTTTGTCAAATTGTGAAAGAAAACGGAAGGATTTTTCGTGTTTTGGAGGTTGTTGGTTGCCTGGAAAACCAATAAAGGCTTAATTGAAAAACTGGCGCTGATCAGTCCATGTAGTTAGGTATCTAGTTTAAAATAAAACGAACCCGATCTCTCCAGTTTAAAGTACATTAAATATCTTGGGGAAAATTAAACCTAACATTTACGGAAAGTTCGACCAGAATCATTCACAAGATATTCAGGATTTCTCAATGATCCAACAGCGAAAATAGTTGACAAAAACGAAAAGTACCAAATCATGTCTCAGCAACTAGTAACAGCAGTGATGATGGTGAGGGTGAGGGTGGGGGTGAGGGTGAGGGGGTGTGAGGGGTTACTTGGTGTTCATGCCATCAGGTTACTTGGTGTTCATGCCTGTACAAACATCGATGATTTACTGCATGAAGGTTAATGTATTTATCCGTCTATAATGAATGGAATTAGTCAACCACAGTACAAGTCCCCAAACAAAGTGAAGGCATTTCTAGAGTTTCCTCGGATTTCCGAAAAACAACCATTCGATAGATGAATCTGGTACTAAGTAGTTTTTGAAGATAGGAAAGAGTTGAATGCGATCGTGATAAGAAAGAGATTACGGTAATAATGATGCCACCTCATGATAGTGTATTAGCCTGCTTGAATGAGCACAACAAAATCAAGAATGTTATTGAACACTTGAACAGGTCATAAATTATGATGACAGCGAGTCAGTTTGACATATTTATAATTTCTTACAGGTTACTCCTATTCTTGACAAGCCAGACACAGAGTTTTCTCAGGCTTATCACTATGAAGAAGATATTTCTCAAACTTGAGCCTAAATGATGAATTAACAATCGTTGCTTCTAATCGTCTTCATATCAGTCGACAAGAAACAAAGCAAGGAGCCGTCAGGCTATAATACTAATACAGACTTATCATTCTGCATCACAAGAATGTGACGGAGAATGATAACTGCTAAGAAATAATTTAAAACATCATTATTAGTAAATTCTTTCGAAAAGTTGTGAACAAACTACTGTCATGTATAGATAATGAAAATTGCTTGGTTGTATTTACTTGCTATAGTTTCATTCGTAAATATAGAGAGTGTACAAGTTTAAGAAGAAAACATGTCGGACAGATCAAGTGTTTTAATAAAACGCTACCAAGCACAACAGAAATTAAGCTCAGTAACAGATATAGATAGTGATAACAGATACATAGAGAAAAGTAATTCAGAATTACATGATGAATTTCACAATAGTCACACAATGAATTTTCAAAATGTTCAACACATATATACAAGTAAATAGTGGAGAGGAAGACGGAAATAGGAAAACAACTAAGAAGAAAACTAAAAATATTTACAATATTCTTTTTCATCTTCATCCGCTTCACTACCTAAATTGTATATGTGTTGAAAATTTTTTGGCCAATTTACAAACAAGCAATAAGACCGGGTATATTTATAAAGTGACCGGCTATTTTATAAACGGATCAATTTTCCAAATTGACCACAATATATATCTTCTCTAGATGAATCTTATCATTACGTTCAACAAACAAATTGTCTGAATGAATAATCATTCATCAGTCAATAAATAAACAAAATGCTCTTGATTATTTAAATATATCTCATATAAATCAATATTAAATTGAACTGCATTACCTTGTACTGTCTTAACGTTTTCTCTACAATAAAATGTGCCGTCGCCTTTCAAATCGCTTTTCATTTATACAGATAAGTGAGTCTTTATTTCCACACATTCTCTATTTTTAAAAGGCAAGACTTGTCGTTTAGACGATACATGTTCATAAACATAAAGGAAAAAAATGAATACACATCATTTAATTTTTTGAAAAATCGATATGAATACGAAGTCAGATCAGATTTGTTATATTCTAAATAAGTACTTTTTTCTTCGTACTAACTTTATTTCTTTCACACGTTTCGATTGATAGTTCAATCGTCCTCAGTGGATACAAACATTAATTAAATTAATTAAAATTACATAAACAAAACAATTTGAACAGACAACTTTATCATAGGGATATTTTTCCCTTATTTATTTTTATAATATATACAGTCGATAATAAAAAACTAGTTTGACAAGCATCTGTAATATACTACATTTATATCCTATTTTTCTTTTCTTTTCCACTTTTCCCCTGGATGTTATGATCTGAAGCCACGTTAATAATTTGAAGTAGTGTATATTCAGCATTACAGTCATGACAACAAGAAAAGAATGGTAGTTGATTCTTCGTACGTTTATCGTCTGTTTT